TGCCTGCACTGCTGAGAGTGCCACTTGGTGCCCTGTTTGAGAGGTCTCCTAATGCCATGCACATCCTGTGCTGCCATGGACATCCACAGCAGCCTTCCTCCTTGTATCCCCATCCTGGAAAAAGCCCCAACAAGCCTTAAGTGTAAGGGAATCCCTCAAGGCGCTATGCAGCACAACTCTGTCCCAGCACAGAGACCAATGCCTGTGCGACCACGTGGCGGTTCTCACAGACTCTGTGCTGGAGGAAGGAGACCAACCCCAGCATGCTCAACTATGGGCCTGCTCTGAAAAAGGCTGTCAGTGGGGTGCCGCAAGGTCCCACGGGACCATCATGTGTGCTGCCGCTACACATGCACAACTGACTTGGTCCTAGAACAACCAGAGGCCAGACCCTGGCAGCATGTTTCAGGGGTCAGAGCAGTGGCTGCCCCCATTCTGCTGTGTGTGGGTGGCCCCTGGGTACGTTAGTTGGTGTGTTCTAGTTGGGTGGAAATGGGAACATATGAGGTCGTGGAGCCAATACTTTGATGTGGGCTCACACTGAAGTGAAAGGCACGATTGGTTTGTAGAGGACAAAGGTGTGTCAGCCTTGAGTGTGGTAATGAATAGGCAGGACCAGCCAATACAGCCACTCTCCCGAGGCAAACAGTGAACCAGGGACCGGGAGTTGACGGTTCAGCCTCTTCCCTCTAGCTTCATATCACACTTGGCTCAGGACATGGCTAACATGAGAAGTTGACCTCTGAGACAGGAAATGCTCGGAGAACACAAGCCTGATGGAAGTAGACACATGATATCTCTTCATTGAGGACCCAGTTCACGGAGCTTGAAGCTTTAGTCCTGTCAGATGGGTTGATATCAGTACTGTGTCCCTGATCTGTGCGTCCCTCCCCTCTATCCCCAGAGCCCAAGGCTGTTTTTGCCAAGGGGCAGCTGGCATGCAGCGAGGTGAAGGTCCAGGCAGGGGCGAGTGCCACTCTGAGCTGCGAGGTGGCCCAGGCCCAGATAGGGGTGATGTGGTACAAGGATGGGAAGAAGCTGAGCCAGAGCTCCCAGGTGCATGTGGAGGCCTCTGGCTACAGGCGGCAGCTGGTGGTGCAGCAGGCAGGCAAGGCAGACGCTGGGGAGGACAGCTGCAAAGCCAGAGGCCATAAGGTCTCCTTCCGCCTGGACATCACAGGTGGGTGATGCTGGGGTTGAGTGAATGGAGGGAGGGTGGTAACTCTTGGGTACCTGTGGCAGCCTAGGCTCTGTGAGGCCTGTGTCCTTGTTGACCTTGGACCTCAGGATCTGTGGCCAGCTCTGGGTGGAGTTTGGCACTGGGGTTGTTTGCGGCTGGGGAGCATGTCCTGCAGGGGCAGGGGTTCCCTCTACCTCGTAATTCCTACTTGCTGGGCCCAGAGCTCCAGAAGCCCTTGCTTGGGCCCTTTGGAATCCTGCATGTCCATCTGTCCTTCCCCCATCTTCTTCTTCTCCCCACTGTGACCTGCCCCTGAGCCTGGGAAGGGACCACATGGGGCTTAAAGCCTCTCTCTTGATGGCTTAATTTGTGCTGGGCTCTCCCCCCTGCCTGGTGCTGGGGTCTCTCTTGATTGTTCCACATTGGCACTGAGTTCTATGGTGACTGGCCCATAGGGGTACTGAGCTCTATGCTAATTGTCTTGCACAGGCTCTGAGATCTCTGCCGATTTGCCAGAACTGGCAATCTCGTCTCCTGCATTCCTTTGGTAGCTGTTGCCAACAAAGATGTGGGTTTCTGGTTTGGTGCTCAAGTGGACTTCCCTGCTGTGTCCGCCTCTACCAGCCTTTGTGTTCCCTGAATGGTGGGAGAGCTGGGAAGTCACTGATGGGCTGGGGTCCCAGGGAGGAAAAGGGTCATGGTCTATTCCCAATGGCTGGGAGGGTGGTGGCATCAGGAGGTAGGCCTGGCTGTGGTGGCCTTGTGGGCTGTGACAGTGCAGTTACCTGCAGGATCAGGGTAGATCAGGAAGTGCTTAGGGCTCTGATGAGGACAGGCTGCCCAGCTGTTCACCCAC